GTGTCCCACAGGGTAGCATTTTATCCGTAACTTTATTTAGTATAAAGATAAATAGTTTATCTAAGGTTTTAACTGACTCTGTTGATGGGTCATTGTTTGTTGATGATTTTAATGTATCCTGTCGAGGAAAAAACATGCACACGATAGAGAGACAGTTGCAGCTTTGTCTTAATAAAATCAATGCTTGGTCTGAACGTAATGGCTTTAAATTTTCTAAATTAAAAACAAATTGCATTCATTTCTGTCGGAAATATAAACCCCATACTGATCCAGTCTTACATCTAGCAGGCACTCCAATTAAAGTTGTAAAGGAAGCAAAATTCTTAGGTATAATTTTTGATCACCATCTTACTTTTCTACCACACATTAAATATCTTAAAGCAAAGTGCCTAAAGGCGCTAGATCTATTAAAAGTTATCTCAAATTCCCAGTGGGGAGGGGACCAGTCAACCCTTCTTCACTTATATCGTTCACTCATCCGTTCTAAACTGGATTATGGCTCCATCATCTATGGTGGAGCCTGCAAAAGCAATCTAAAACTATTAGATGCTATTCATCATCAAGGTCTAAGACTCTGTCTTGGATCTTTCCGTACTTCTCCAATTAACAGCTTATATATTGAGGCCGATGAGCCATCACTTAAACACCGCCGCATTAAACTATCTTTACAGTATATTACAAAGTTATATTCTAATGAATCCAACCCTGCCTACAACTGTGTTTTTAATCCCCTTTATGAGGATCTGTACCATAAGAAATCATCTCTTATTCCCCCTCTGGGAATAAGAATTAAACCTTTCCTTTCTGCTGCTGATATTGATCTCAAAACTATATCTCCTTTCAGACTCCTGTCTTCTCCTCCTTGGCAATTGGTGCAGCCACATGTGGACCTGTCACTGTCCAAACTAAAGAAAGCAGACACAAATCAACTTCAGTACCAACAAGAATATAATCAATTACGAGCTTCTTACAATACTTACAAATCAATCTTTACGGATGGATCCAAGGATGGTGGCGCTGTCGCCAGCGCCACCATCGTTGGAACCAAAACTATATCAACCAGATTGCCAGGTAATTCTTCAATATTTACAGCAGAATCAAAAGCTATTTTAACAGCTCTTGAATATATTCAAGGATCTAAACATATGCAATTCATTATTTTTTCAGACTCTCTGTCCTGTCTTCAGGCTATTAAAAATAATTCGTGTAAGCATCCCGTTTTACTTGACATCATTGAATTACAAAATGAGCTTGCTACTGGCCAATACGAAATCGTCTTCTGTTGGTTGCCAAGCCATGTTGGTATCATTGGTAACACAATGGCCGATGCTGCTGCAAAAGCAGCACTCAACAAATCTGTGACACCACTTCTGATCCCATACACTGATTTTAAACCCATGATTCGATCTTACATCCGAGATCTTATGCAACAGAAGTGGGACGCCCAAGTAGGTATCAATAAATTACATGAAATTAAACCAAATATCGGTTACACCTACTTGGGCTGTCAGTCCAGATTTGAAGAGGTCATTATGCGACGATGTCGTATTGGCCACAGCAGATACACAAATGAATATTTATTAAAAGGTGAGGATCCTCCGTTTTGTATCCCTTGTGATGAAAGAATCACGGTCAAGCATGTCCTGCTTGACTGCATTGATTTTTCCATCACAAGGGATAAATATTTCAATTCGTCATCTATTAAGGATCTTTTTAGCAGTATCGATTCTCGTTTCATCATTGGTTTTTTAAAAGAAATAGAGTTGTGTGCAAAATTTTGATTGTGTTTTGTGAAATATAAATATTTTATGATCGGTAGATTAAATTAGCAACTGAGAATGTTCGTGGCTGTATCCTCGAGGGGGGTTAAAGTACTGTAAAATTATTGTCCTCCTGAGAGGGTACATAAGTTCCACTTCTTTCAAGGTAAATTTAGAACTACTGTGTTTTTAATCGTAGAATATGTGTCATTTTAAGATGTAAGGCTAACTCTGCCAATAATCGCCACCACTTGAAGGGATGATGTAAATCCTGCTGGGACCCATGCAGGTAGCTAAGGTACTGTAAGTCCCCATGGTCCCCAGTATGGTGCTCTCCCTTCAGGGGCTGGCGATCTATAGCCCGTTTTTATCATATTATTGTTATGTATCAGTGTTATCTTTTTTATGATCCCATACTAGTTTTAAAATCTTTTTCTGTGATAAGTCTAGTACTTTTTACTGTCCTTCGTTGGCAGGTTTTTATATAAGTATAATTGTATTTATAAACATAAAACCTTGATAGTCACGATATGGCTGCAATATTGCCGATGTGACTTTAAATATAACTCACTCACTCACTCTGATTTTAAGGACAATAGATTGTGTGTTATTATGTTACGCTGCACAATGATCCAGCATCACGACGGCCTGTATATTATCAATTCAGGGCCAGACAAACAAGTGGGTGATGTTATTAGCAACTTCCTTCACGGTCGTCTACAGGCCACTTACCAAGTCATCGTGTGTGTGTGAGCGTGTATGCATGTGCGTATGTGTGTATGTATGTGTGTTTGCGCGCGTGTGAATGTGCGTGTTTGTGTAGATAGATGAGAACCCTTAGTTGGTATATTTTGTTATACTTTGGATGCTCCACGTCTTATTCACTACATCTTTCATGTGGGATACGACTGAGTGAGTGAGTAAATATAATTTTAAGGCACATCTGCAGTTTTATGACGCATATTTGAACTTAAAAATAGTAAGTGACAAGACACACAACAAAACGGGCTATAGATGACCAGCAACCAAAGTTAAGCCACCACACTAGGGATTATGGGGCCTACGTTACTGCTTCTACCCCCAACTGGATTTACGCCATCCCTCTGGCCGCAGGAGAGTGTTGTCTCTTCTGAACAAACGAGGTGACACTTTAAATAAGGGATCCAGACAAACAAGGTGACACTGTATATAACGAATCCGGACAAACCAGGCTGCACTTTATATTATGGATTCGGGCAATATATATAAGTATTTAAGCGATCCTGACAAATGACAGGACACTATATATAACGGTTCTAGACAAATGGGATCACGTCTGTATATAACGGATCTGGACAAACGAAGTGGCACTGTATAAAGGAATCTGGAGAAATGAGGTGACACTGTATATAACGGATCTGGGCAAACGAGGTTGTAGTATGTATAATGGATCCGGACAAACGAGGTGACACTGTATAAAACGGATCAGGACAAACGAGGTGACACTGTATTTAATGGATCTGGACAAACGAGGTAACACTGTATATAGTGGATTCGGACAAACGAGGTGGCACTGTATTTAATGGATCTGGACAAACGAGGTGATGCTGTATATTAGGGATCTGTACAAACGAGGTAACACTGTATATAGTGGATCCGGACAAACGAGGTGGCACTGTATTTAATGGATCTGGACAAACGAGGTGACACTGAATATTTCGGATCTGGACAAACGAGGTGATGCTGCATATAAGGGATCTGGACAAACGAGGTGATGCTGCAAATATGGTATCTGGACAAACGAGGTGATGCTGTATATTAGGGATCTGTACAAACGAGGTAACACTGTATATAGTGGATCCGGACAAACGAGGTGGTACTGTATTTAATGGATCTGGAAAAACGAGGTGACACTGAATATTTCGGATCTGGACAAATGAGGTGACACTGTATATAACGGATCTGGGCAAACGAGGTTGTAGTATGTATAATGGATCCGGACAAACGAGGTGACACTGTATAAAACGGATCAGGACAAACGAGGTGACACTGTATTTGAGGAATATGTACAAACGAGGTAACACTGTATATAGTGTATCTGGACAAACGAGGTGGCACTGTATTTTAGGGATCTGTACAAACGAGGTAACACTGTATATAGTGGATCCGGACAAACGAGGTGGCACTGTATTTAATGGATCTGGACAAACGAGGTGACACTGAATATTTCGGATCTGGACAAACGAGGTGATACTGTATATAGTGGATCGGACAAACGAGGTGACATTGTTTATAACAGAGCTGGGCAAACCAGGTGACACTGTATAGAAGGGATCTGTACAAATGAGGTGACACTGTTTATAGCGGATCCGTACAAACGAGGTGATGCTGAATATACGGGACCTGGACAAACGAGGTTGTACTATTTGTAATGATTCCGGACAAACGAATACAATTTCGTCAAGATTACGAAAATAACATTGCACAGAGACAATTCTAATTGTAAGGGATCGTGAAAACATGTCCCTACCCGCCATCCATCAGTGTTGAGTCTGGGCTTTGACAGTACAGGGTGGGGCTCCGGGATGTAAGGGTTCCAGCAGATGCTCAAGTCCGCCAGCCTCAGCAACTGCAACAAATAATTACAAAACACTTCATATGGCTTACCATGATACGACATAGGCTCTGACTTGGTTGATGCATGTCATCGTATCCCAATAGCGAGGTTCGAAGCTCATGATGTCCATCACTGGATTATCTGGTCCAGACTCGATTATTTACAGACCGCGGTCATATAGCTGAAATATTGCTGAGCGCGGCGTTAAAAAACAAACTAATCAAACAAACTAAACAAATATAAGCATAGTGATTAGAGCGTTATATTATTCAACCGATCCCAGTTTTAGTGCGTACGGAACAGTTGTATAAATTTTAAAAAAACATGACTTTTGACATCTTATCCTCACTGAAGCCGGATGTGGAGACCACTATGAAGTTTTAAACAATGGAGGTAAACCGTGATAACGACTTTAACACTCGGAGGCTATCGTGGATGCTGACACGCCCTTCACAGAATTCGATGATAGAACATAGTGGGTGGAAATATTGCTTGACACAGCATCAGCAATCTGGCAGCCATTCGTGGCGACCAAACCATTACATGATGTGTACCCATCAGATCGTCAGCTGGTTATCGACGTTGATCAAAATAATTCTGTACCTATAAATGTCGACCATCACTGATGCACGTTATATGTTCATCATGACGTGCATGATGCTGTGGTCGGTTCTGCTGGCGGTGACGGTAACGTCTGTGGTCGGCAGCGACTTGGTGAAGTACAACATCAACACTCAGGTGAGTTTGGATAGAGAATCTTTACTTAGTGTTTATGTAAAGGAAAGCAATTGGCGTGCATTATCTGTCAGATTTATTTACAGTAACACTTTATATCAAGAAAAACAGTTAATCGTGAAATATTAGCTATCATCGCTATAATGAGCTATCGTCGCATAGCCTTAACACAACCTTTCCTGATTTCCATAATTTAAGGATGTTTTGAATTTGAATAAACTGAGAGGCAAAAAAAACCTCTAAGTTGATATAATTGGCTTGATTTTCAATTTAAAATATCTTAAGTTAGCTATATTATATCCAAAACGTTAACTGTACAGGCACTCGGTCAGTACTCAAAGAAAAATTCAACATAGTTATATTTTCTAAAATTGAATTTTATTTAAAAAGTTTATAATTTGTAAAAAGATTTTCGCATAATATACAACTGCTGATGGCTATCTTGGATATCTTATCTTTGAAAATCAATCAATTTGCGAATTAATTTATAACATTTCAAACAGGGTAGGGACCATGTGGTTGCAAATGTATTTCTTAACCAGTCTTCATTGAACCAATTGATACTTACACAAAATTACCCAGGCACAGACTTCTTTTCACAAACTGTTGCAGGAATGAGTGATGGATAAATGGACATAATCAAATTTAACACCAGTTCTTTCAATTACATAAAAGCAAACTCAGTTTATGATTACATATGAAAATGCATAACATCGTGCATTAAATCGAATATCGATTAGATGTACAGTATATCTTGTAATTAGGTTTTTCCATAAATCAGACAAAAAAACATTAATTCCCAACTTATGAAACATAACAATCATAATTATAAGGTGTTCCACCGTACATAACAATTCAAATGTTTTCGAATAAGAACATATTTGCACACGTCAACTTCACAACTTTATTGTGTTGAGTTATTTGAGAGAAATCACAAGGCATCTGTAGATCTTGCAAAGAGGGAATATCTTGAGTTGTTAAACATGGTGAAGACGATAAAGACGAATAGTTACCTCATATGTTTACATATTTCTTAGCAAGTTGTGTCAATTTGCAAGCTGAAAATGAACGAGAACAGCGCAGACCTCCAAAAACAGCAATTTGTACGATTGAGTGCACCATTGATCTGAAACCTAATCCTACAGTCACATGAATTAGATCTTCCATTACCGAAAACGACGACAAACAAGCTCTTAGGTTTGTGTTTCTATCCATGTATTTTATATCCTCACCACTATGGTACACAAATCTTCCACAAATTTGTCTGATGTCATCGTATCTCGACTCATCCGCCATTTCTTTACTAAATTTCATTTATTTTATTGACAGTAAAAACGAATATGTGAACCCTTAATGCACTAACGTTTACAATTTGCCTACAACCGTAGCGATACATTGGGCGTGACATTGCTGACAACAGGATCAAACCCTTTCAGTTTCTGTGAAGAATATCTCACTTTTGTGTATCCTTTAATTGAAAGTGACAAACGATAATGATTGAATACCTCTAAGTCTTTGACATTTTGATTCGCAGGCCAAGTGTACCGAGGTGACAAGAGGTCCTACCCGTAACTGTATTTGGCCGGCTGGACTCAACCCCTTTGCTGACCAGATAGCTGAGGGGGGCCGTATTATCGCCTACAAGATACAGTGGTTCAATAGACGCTGGTCTGGCTGGTTCGTCCCCGGCTCCAATGACATGGACTGGAAGTTCAACCTTGGTACCAAACGTTGTTCCGCGCTGCCCTACCTGGTGAACACATTGAGACGGGCGTGGTCGTATTTCTACGATCACAACCACAAATACATCATCTGTAAAGCAAAATAACTCCTGCGGATCATGTATCTGGCCTTGTTACGACATGGTAATAAACTCAGTTAAAACTATTGTAGATTTTTGTTTTTCATTTGAGGGTATTTGTATGTATTGGCATTGTGCAAAAACATGCTCTGGGAGTCTATTGCGGTTGTTTAATAAATTGTTAAATATTTTTTCAACAGCACTCATTTCATCCGATGAAATACGTCACATATGTAGGTCGTTTGATGGAAAAGTATCTCTTCAACGCAGCTTCCCAACAATGGCAGTTTCTGAGTTGCGTCTGGCACTCGTGAAGAGCAACCTCCTCGTGGTGAGTGCTGGGTAGCGCTAATAACTCTTCCCCCGTGTGGACTCAGGGTAGAATTTGTCCACAGCACCCCATTGCTGGTCGTAAAAGGCGACCGAATTGGGCTACTTGTTTGCCTTGGTTTGCGTCCCTGTGTCGGTGGAGGAAGGGATTCTGGTGGTTGAGGGCACTGGAGCCAGGAACAGTGTTTCTTTGCCCAACACACCACTTTGACCCTAACTTCACCTAGACGGGTGGTAGAATGGGCCCGGTTTTATCAATCGGCTGGTCACGCCATGCCCTGTGCATGGTCGCCCTCAATTTGAATAGTTTAGTGTATTCCACACTGTACGGAACATTACATTCTAAATGTATTACAACTTTGCCTAGAGTCCTATGCCAGAAGGCGGTGTCTCATGGGCCAATCTGGCGTTATTGACCTCCAGCTTCTTATAGCCTTCAGATAAATGTAAAGGGCAGAACCAACCTGACTTTTGTTCTGTTTGGCTTTCTTAGCTACCTGTGTTGGTATTGCTTGAGTATAGCACCCCTGTAACCCTAGTGTTTGTAATTGGTTTCCACTGCAACACTGTCGTCACTTGTTGTCACTCGATGGTGGATGGGGAGCGGGGGTGTTGAATTTATTTTCTTACATCATGGATTCCCCACAAATCACTGGTTCGCGTTCGAAAATTAAGAGAAGACATGTTGATTTAGTTTCATCTTCTGATGATGAAACTTCTGTTACAAATGTTGATTCATGGCCTCGATTTCTGGTTGTGGAAGGTGTTAATCGCCTGCCACTCAAGGTAAAACCTTTTGTTGTTTCAAAAGCAGTTAAAGGTATATGTGGTGATGTTAAGAACGTCACTCGTTTACGGTCGGGTTGTCTACTAATAGAATATGCCACACGAACAAACGAACTAAACAAATATAAGCATAGTGATTAGAGCGTTATATTACTCAACCGATCCCAGTTTTAGTGCGTACGGAACAGTCGTATAAATTTTAAAAAAAACATTGACACCTTGTCCTCCAAACTCATCACTGAAGCCGGATGTGGAGACCACAATGAAGTTTTAAGCAATGGTGGTAATGACTTTAACACTCGGAGGCTAACGTGGATACATACAACTGACACGCCCTTCACAGAATTCGATGATAGAACATGGTGGGTGAAAGTCCATGACTATGCTTGTCGTAAAAGTCGACTAACCGGATCGGATGGTCAGACTCGCTGACTTGGTTGAAGCATGTCATTGATCCCAATTGCTTGGATTGATGCTCATGATATCAATCACTCGATTGTCTGGTCCAGACTCGATTATTTACAGACCGCCGTCACATAGCTGGACTATTGCTGAGTGCGGCGTTAAACAACCAACCAATGGATACGCAAAAATCATGGCTTTTCGATGAAAGCTCCAAGTATGACAGGGTACAACTGTCTTTTACAAGCTAGGTGCAAGTTACTCTAAAACGTCGTACTGTTACATGCCGCGGTTTAACTGAATAGCCAACTCAAACACAGTATACTGACTCCGAGCCGACCAGTCCTTGTTGTACCACTTTAATCCTGAGCAACAGGCAGGGTAACAACAAGTACCATATTTTAACGTATTTTGACAGGACGTGGTCAAGAAGTGCACTACTTCGACCCAAAGGCGATCATCACACATTGTTCTTATGTCCGAACGTGTTTGGTGTCAGTTGGATCGAGAGGTAACAGATATCAGACTTTACACGTCGTATGAATGTAGATCCTCGGTTTAATAACTCCCTGACAACCCTGATATCACGTTTTGGAGATTGCACTCTCGATATGGTATTTTAGGGTGCAGGTTGTGAAGGGTGCCGCAGTTAGATGGATGGAATAGGTCTTCAGCAACCCATGACTGCCGTAAAAGGCGACTATGCTTGCCGTGGGAAGGGACTAACGGGATCGGATGGTCAGGCGCGTTGACTTGGTTGATGCATGTCATCGTATCCCAAATGCGTAGATCGCTGTTCATGATCTCAATCACTGGATTGTCTGATCAAGACTTGATTATTTAAAGACCGTCGTCATATAGCTGGAATATTGCTGAGTGAGGCGTTATAAAACATCGCGAATGGTGCAGTATGCGTATATGGGGTGCAGTGTGTTGTGGGTGAAGTGTGTGTATAGAGCAGTCATCTACGATTTAAAGTACCCTAAGCACCCATGTTCGTTATAACGGTTAGTACGTGATGCCCGTGTTCGTTATAAACATTAATGCATGACATCCGTGTTCTTAATAACCGTTAATACGTGACATCCGTGTTCGTTATAACCGTTAATACGTGAATCTCGTATTCGTAATAACCGTCAATACATGACTTCCGTGTTCGTTATAAACGTTAATGCATGAAATCCGTGTTCGTTATAAACGTTAATACGTGACATCCGTGTTCTATATAACCGTTAATACGAGACGCCCGTGTTCGTGATAATCGCTAGTATGTGACATCTGTGTTCGATATAACTTTTAGTACGTGTTACCCGTGTTCGTTCTAATCGTTAGTACGAGATATCCGTGTTCGTAATAACCGAAATACGCGATACCCGTGTTCTTGTCAATTGTTGGTACGTGACGCCCGTGTTCGTGATAATCGTTAGTATGTGACATCCGTGTTCGTTATAACCTTTAGTACGTGTTACCCGTGTTCGTTCTTATCGTTAGTACGTGATATCCATGTTCGGTATAACCGTAATACATGATACCCGTGTTCGTTATAGCCGTTAGAACGTTAGTACGAGTCCGTTGCAGTATTTTTCTCATCTTGAAAAAATGTGCTGATGATGATGATGATAAATGTTGACAATGAGAATGAGAATATTAACACGAGAAATGTAAGTCAATGCCTACTACCAGAAGTAAAATGTAACCTTTGTCTTACTCTGACGTGTTTGTCATTGCGTGAAATCCTCAGTCCTAACATTTGATTCGAGTTTGTCAAATCCACTATCTTTGTCTGTTATTGTTTTCAATATTTGACGAGGCGGGGGTCATCTTTTGGATATATTTCTGTTCAACAGAATAGATTGACTGTTTCTCATATCCAAAAGATCTCATGGCTGTGTGAAACTTGTTATAGATGGATTGAAAAATCTGACAGACGTGCCTTAAGCTGACGAGAAAAGCGACATTTAATTTAATTAGTCTAAATCTATGTATTATTAATGTACTTCTCGTCATGATATGGCTGAAATACTGCCGATGTGACATTAAATCTTAACTCACTCACTCACTCACTGAGTTGCGTCCCATAGTCGTGTCAGGATCCGCTGATCGTACGATTACTAGCCTAGCAGCATCAACGTTGCAGACGTACTCCCACCCCCACATACCCACTCCGACTCGTTCTTGCTCTCCCTCTCTCTCTCTCTCTCTCCCTCCAAACCCCGCTCCTGCCCTGTGGCGACCGAAGTGGGCAGCCTGTTTACCGTGGGCTGCGACCCTGTGACTGTAGAGGAGAGAGTTTGGTGGTTGAGGGCGCCGGTGCCGGCAATAGTGTCCTTGGTCCTCTTGGACCCTAACCCTAGATGGGCGGTAGAATGGACCCGATTCTATCAACACGGCGTTAGCTGTGGTGTTGGAGGAAGGCCGATTTCAAACCCGCGAGCACGGGTTCGAGGCTGACTAACATAGAAACCTAGACTCGAAGGCATGATCATAACTTTCTGGACGCAAGTCAGCACAGCGAACAGTGGTGCCTTAGACGTCTTCGGCCCCGGTTGCCAGAGTTGCACAGAATTACATGTAACATGTGTATCATTGTGTGTCTCTTCAGTGTGGAGGATATCGTTTGTAGTCACATACTTCGTTGATGAGGTCAACATGGCTGCCGCCTTAGCTTGGGCACCCTTGGTCTCCTCTGTTTATTGAACACAGATTAATAGATATTAGTGAACGACCGTGTAATATTCAGAGGGAAGCTGGCTGACGTAAGGTGAAATGGGGTTCAACGTCGCGTTCAAGATTATTCATATCTATGGCCCTGTCACACTGCAACGTATAGCAGTAACGTAATGCGACGTATGATAATTTTTGCCAAAACGCTGGCAACGCTGAAACACACCATGGATCAGTTAGGTGTAAGTTGTATACGTTAAAAACACGCATGTATACGTTGTAGTACGCCGATGCTTAAAAACATTTTTGTGCATGCACAAACGTTTCGGCGTATGGGAACGAATGAAGGTATGAATTATACGTTAGGCATACTTAAGGTGTACGCTCTACATGCATACGTTTACATACGCCAGATATTCGTTACCCATACGGCCCGTTTTAGGCACCTTTCCCCTACGCTGAGCGCGCTAGTCATACGTTACGCATATGCTGGACATACGCTGGCCATACGTTAAACACGCCAGACACAAGCTGGCAAAACGCTTTTTTACGCTGTCATAAGTTATTTTTAAGTCAGTGATATGCTATATATAAGTTAGACATGCGTTACATATACGGTAAACTCTCTTTTTGTATATGCTATGGACCCGTGAAGATTCCGGGGTAGAACAGGTCTTCAGCAACCCATGACTATGCTTGTCGTAAAAGGGATGGGATGGTCAGGCTCGCTGACTTGGTTGAAGCAAGTCATCGATCCCAATTGCTTGGATTGATGCTCATGATATCAATCACTGGATTGTCTGGTCCAGACTCGATTATTTACAGGCCGCCGTCATATAGCTAGACTATTCCTGAATGCGGAGTTAAACAACAAACCAACCAATGTATACGCCAAAATCATGGG